CGCTGGGGTTCACTCACTTCTTAGGTGACTCACTTCCACACACAGCACAAATTCCTTTCTCAGTAAAAACGACTATGTCATGGGCCTTTGGAGTCACTTCGGAAGAGTCAAAACGGCAAATGTTAAGCGTCTACTGTAGGTGTTTGCTGGGGGAAGTGGCAGTGACATAAACGGTAAGCAAACACTTCTTCCTGTTGAGAGCCAGAAAGTCAGGGATGCTCTGCAGAGGCCCCCGACCATTGCTCATCTCAGCTCTCCCCGCCAGGGCGTGCTTGGCTTTTCCCCGTCCAGCCTTACTTGCCCTCCTTCCCCCTCGAGCTGATGTAGAGGGTTCTCAATGTCTGCCTTTCCATGATTCTGCAAATCAGTTCCCCTAGAGATCTTTCTTAAATCCTTCTGCTTCATCAGAAAGCACTTCTGTGGATAAAATAAAAACAGCCTACGGTGTTGCAGTTTGAGAACTGGAGTTTGAGAAGGAGCTATCTCCTCCTGCTCAGAAACTTCCCAGCATGCAATGGCTTATTTGCAAGAGACGTAATGTAGGAATACAGTATTTGCTTTCAATGTTTACAAAAAATTCCTTTCTTTTTCCTCCTCCTTTTCCTTCACTACCTTGCACCCCACTTCAAATGCCCATGTCCTGGCATACACCAGTCCTTGCACACCTGTGGGTGGTGTTGAGTAAAGCACATTGGTGAGCTTCAGTGGGGAGTAACTGAAAGTACCATTTGCACTTGGAAAGACGGGGAACTGGAGGAATGTCTGGAACAGAAGCAACTTATTCTTTCAAGGATTCCTTTTGCCTTCCTTTCTCTGGACTGTGTCTCTACCCTATACCACTCTGTGTGTGTGTGTGTGTGTGTGTGTGTGTGTGTGTGTGTGTGTGTGGTGTCTGCTGCCACAGGCAGGGAGAGGTTTTCTCTGTTGTAGATGGTGTTTTATTTTGGCGCATGCCCCTGGCCACCATGGAACATTCCAGTTTGGTTGAGTCCAGTAGAACAGGGGTCTCTCTGGCTAACATGCTTCACTGAGTGCCCTTGGTTTGGAGGTTGAAGCCCAGGAGAAGCCAGTCAGCCCATGGTTGTTTTTCTAGGATGACATTCACCCCGTTCCCTGAGGTGCCCACAGCTGCTGCCTCAGGAAGAGAACATGGAAGGCGGGGAGATGGAAGGGGAGACATGAGTTTTGCCGGATACGCTGAACAATGGAGTAACCAGGACATCACTGTGGGCTTCAGCCACTGGGTACCGTTTCTCAGACCAGTAGTTCTTCTCTGAAAAACACTGAAGAAGAAAGGAAAAGTGTGCAAATTCCTTAGAGGCTATGATGAGTGAGACTGCAACTGCTCTCCAAGGGTTCCCAGTCACTGTGGGGATGTCCTGCTTCAGGGGGCTGTGGACTGCAACCCAGGCTTTTGGGTGTGTTGACTGAAGGAGTAGTTTAAAAAGCGACTGTGATGTGGCTCCTTGTATATTTCCATGACAACTGGAAAAGGAACTGTGAGCCACCAGCTCTTTTGTAAAACACAAGTTACCAAGTAACCTGCCTACATCACCTTCACTTCGTCCCTCTTCTCCAGGTGACCCCAAGGGGTGGAGAGAAGTCTAGGTCTGGAGGAAGATGGGCGATAAGGCTCAGGGTGTGGTTATACATGTCATTTGGTATTAAGGAAAATGAACATTTAATGGTTCATTTTAATGAGCCATGAAATGGATGTAAAGGTCCATCACAAGGGTCAAAACAGCTGTGCCCAGATGGCCACAGTAAAATGTTAGGTTCTCAGGCCAGCAGAGGGAAAGGGAAGAAGGAAGGACATTTTAAACAGCAATGTTTGAGATACACAAAGTTATTGCTCTCACTGCAATCATTTTTTTCCCCCAGAATCGTGAGGAAAAAGGGATTACTTTGTGTCTTTGCTAACTGAAAGAAAAGCACATGGAGGAGTTTAAACTGGGCCCCTGAGTCAGGCTCTGGCCCCTCAGGAAGTTACACATGCTTCTGTATTTGTATGTCTGCTTCCATAAGTGCATTTTTCATTTATAACACTACTCGTTTCTGTGAAGAGAACAAGAATTACTGATGTTTGAGTTGAACATTTTGTTAAGTAGACAAGACCCATTTATTAATCTTCCGAAGAAAGAATTGAAAAAATTTAGGGGGTGGTGTGGATGGATGAAAATGCAGTTCCTGTTGGTTTTCCCAGAGAAAATCTCAAGAGGAAATGGGTTTTCAGAACAGCAGGGGGATTTATGTGGGGCTGATCAAAGAGCGTTTTCAGCAGCAAGATTCTGTCGAGGATGCACATGAAGCTTCTTTCCTAGGGACGGAGGATGGTCTGAGCAGGTCCACGGTGGGTCTTGGAAAGAGTGGCTTCTGCAGTGACCCTTCCCACCCCAACTTCCTCTGCCTACAAGGACTCGGGGGGTCACTCCACAGGCTGGAGTCAGTGTCAGAATTCGAACCTGCCTTTCAAAGAGCCATCAGGCTTTTTCCTCAGAGTGATGGTCATATTTAGATGAACTAGCACACGGTGGATCCCCATGCATTTTCATGACCTATGTTCTCTCCTTAATATTTCTATTGTTTTGAATGTGGATACAACTGGGGAGTAAAAATTGGGGGTGGGGTGGGGCAGAGGACTACTTTGTTTCATTAAAAGCTTTAAAAATGTGGACTTTGCCCATGTGTAACTTTGAGAAAAACTAAAATATATTTAACAATTTAAAAAACCTTTGCTGCATAAGTAATACATACCCATTGGGTAAAATTTAGAAAATTCAGGGTGGGTATAGTTTAGTGGTAGAGTGTATGCTTAGTATGCACAAGGTCCTGGGTTCAAGTCCCAGTACCTCCACTAGAAAAAAAAAAAAAAGAGAAAGAAAATTTAGAGATCCGCTCCCAAAATCCACCATCTAGAAATATTTACTATTGATCTTTGTTCCAGATTGTTCCATACTTTTTCTTGACATACACATAGATGTATTTTTAAATGAAATTGGATCATGTTTATTTTGCTTTTGTCACTTAGAAATACAGCTTTAGAATAAACTCCTACATCAAAGGGGTCAAAGGGTGTTCATTCAATACTATGTGAATTAGGATCCTTTTGTTTCCAAGTGACATTATTTCAGTGTTGAGTGTCTCTGGTAAAAAGGGATACAGGAGATAGGAACTGGGCCTTGGAAATAAGTATGTCTGGGACTTGGATGCCTCCGGACTCTGTATCTCTTCTATCTTTGGTATCTTTTTATGTAATTGGTTCATTCTTCTCTCTTACTGAACACTGGCTGGACATACTGGGGCTGGCTGTAGGGCTTCACATCTTTCTATTTTAGCGCTCTAAGGACGTATATCCCTGGTTTTTATAGACCTCATGTCCGAATTCCCACAAAAGGGCATGCTTGGGTTGCTTAGATCCGATAGCAGTATGTGGTCAGGAAAGGTTCTCATAGAAGCCTGGTGAGGAGAGTGGAGGAGGGGTTGTAAGGAGAATGGCCAAGGAAGAGGGGCTGAGCTGTTAGCAGGGAGGGAGGACTCTCAGTGGAGTAAATGACAGTGTCCTCTATGGATATGCGTGGATAAACTCTGCTCTAGCGAAGGGACACCACGATCTGCTCCACGTGGCAATGTATGAGCTGCCTGTTGGCCAAGGTCTTGCGAGCAATGGAAATTATCAAGAAGAAAATCTTTGATGAGCTCTGTCTAAGGGGATTTTCTTCTTTGTTCTGAACTCCTGAGCAACAGGTGGCCCCAGCTCTGTTTACCATCAACTCCTCCTGGGGAGGAGCTTGCTGGAGGGTAGGGGGGATGGGATCTGTGTTGAAGGTGACCCAGAGGTTCAGTTTTGACCACGGTGACGTGGTCATGGACTGCCTCTTCCTGGCACAGGATTGATGATTGTACAGAAACACATACAAAGGGACACAGCAGCAAGAGCAAAACCACATGCCCCACTGGGCGGCTTAACCTAGATTTTGCCCTGAAAGGGGGCTGTGGCAGGATGAGTGAAGGCAGCGCTAGGGCACCACGCCTGGCTCTTTGACTGAGCTCAGTTCCTGACTAACACACGTTTGATCTTGTCGGACTTTTGCATGAAGAAAGCAAGACCCTTCGAACTTACCAGAAAACATACGTCTTCGTGAGGCTTCTGCCTTTCTTTTGAGTGTCTGATGGGAGCAGGGGTACTTTTGCTTCTCTTCTGGTTCTATGAAAATCAGATGGAAAGTTGAATCGCAGTTGTATTCTCAAAGGCTGGGTACCAGGGGCCAGGATGGTACCCTGAGTTTGGATGCAACCCGTGGCCTTCAAAGATGGGGTGGTCAAAGGCAAGGTGGGAAATTTAGCTGGTAATGTTTACCCCATGTTCTCTGACTCTTGTCGAAAGACCTAGGACCTGCTGAGGGCACAGAGTGGCTTCCAAAACCACCCAGGAGGTGGGAGTGGCTAGGTATCCTTCAAGTCAAGTCAAGCTGTGTGTGGGCTGCCTTCTTCCTAGCATAGAGGAAGACATTATTTGGTCTTAGACAGACATCCTGTCCAGTTTCATCAGGTACTTGAGCCGTAAAGTCCCAAATTTGGAAGGGGCCCTTTCTTTAGTCTCCTATTGCCTGCACCTGCCGTGGTCCATCTGACCTTTACCTATGTGACCTCTGCTCTCCCCGAAGGAAAAGGTCCCTCCTTGTTCGGTATACCCAGTCTTCAGCCGTGCCATATTTGCTCTTGTGCCATTTAACCCTCTGGTCTCCCAGGAGCTCTTCACTGGGCTTCAGGAGCCCTACTGTCTCCCCCTGCCCCCAGCCCCCAACACCAGGCACACATCTAACTCTTGGGGAAGCCCCATCACACTGCAGACCTGGGGAGGCAGAGCGAGCTGGCCAACATCCCACCCGCTACTCCTGGTTTGCACCAGTGTGCTGTATTTAAGGAGGTACGCAGAAATAATCTAACCAGAGATCACATGACCTCATACTTCGTGTTTAGAATATAAGACAAAGAAGTGGTCATTTATTAAATATATTTTTTATTGAACACCAGCTTAGTTTTAGGAACATTTCAGGCACACTGTCAAAAATAAAAACTCTTAAAAGTTGATGATGCACCCAGCACTAGTTTTCTACCTTCACATGTGTTTTCATTTCATTCTCATGAAAACCCTATGAGGTGGGTACTATTATTAATATCCGCATCCTATAGATGAGGAAACCCAGGCCCAGAGAGGTCAAGCAATTTTCCCAAAGGGGCAGAGCTACTGAGGGGTGAGGGTTCTGGGATTTCAGCCCAGGTGGTCTGACTGCAGTGCCTATGTCTACACTCCACACCTTTGGAATACACACACTATGGCCTTCGTGTACGTAGGAGGACCTGTGGTTACAGAGTGGCCTCTTGACAGTGTTCACAAATGCCTTTGCAGGCAATATGTTTCTTTAAAGTGATAAGATCAGTCTCATGTATGAAGTATTCATTTTTTAGTGAAACTTACTACACACTGGTAACATACAAGGATGAAGGTATGCTACATGAGAGTAGAATTAATAGTTGGAATATAAAATTACCCTGTAATGAGGTTTTATTTATTTTTTGAGTTTTTCTATTTAAAAAATTTTTTTTGGTCTTTCTCTTCCACACGAGTGCCTGTGGACACAACATTGTCTTTAAGTTGTTGTGTGTCCAACAGCAAACCAACACCACCATCTCTTGAGGGATTCTACATGGCTCTTTAGAAACATGATCTCTTTAAGTCCTTAAATCAACTTTCAGTATTCTTGTCCCCATTTTACAGATGAGGAAACTAAGGTTTATACAGTGTTAACTGAGGCTCAGGAAGGATATATCAGAGCTAATAAATGAGAGAGGTGGGATTCAAACCTGGGTCTCCCTGACCCCGAGGCACATGCAGATAAGCCCTGTGCCTCCCCGTGTGGAAACTTGGTGGTCTCGATGTCACCGAACCACATCTGTGTCAGAGCACAGCATACACATACAGGCTTCCGGAGTTCAGACAACAAACGTTAAGTGAGCACTAGGTAAGTCCTGGGCTCACTCCTAGGTACACTGTGAAAGATACAAATTTTGAAGGAGAAATTGGAAGGCAGGTGAGGATCTTCTCCCCTTAATAACAGGTAAATAATAAATCATTGAGAACTTTCTGACTCCTTTACATGTGTTCTCATTCCATTCCACAGAAAACCGTATGTGGCAGGGCCCAGGATTATTTTTAGCCCCATTCTGCAGATGGGAAACTGAGTCACATGTGTATTTCTTAGCAGATAGCTATCTTTGGGCTGACTGGGTCAGCAGAGCCTTGTTGGTACCCAGCGGGCTGGGTAAAGGAATTATGTCTTGAACTAACCATGATCTGATTTGCAATTCCATTGAACTCTGCCATAGTCACACATCCAATTTTTTTAGACTGGTAGCCCCTTGTGAGCAGGAGCCCTGTCTTCTGGGGCTCATGCTTTTCTCCTGGGGGGCTCTGGGCTGAAACCCTTTCCATCCTAAAATCTTTACTCTGTGTCAAGAGCACGTGCATGGGTCTAGTCGTGGGTGTGCAGACACAGAGCTCTGGGTGTTGGGTGTGGAAATCTGGCTCCCGTTTGAACCCAAGGCTCCTTTTTCTCGCTTCTTGCGAGCATGAGGGTGTGATAACAAAATCAGAGTCGTCTTCTTAAGAGAAACATTAGTAGGTAATTTCAGCCACAGGTGAATCTCTTCTGTTTCTCCAAAAACTGGGCTTTGCCAGCCCTGCTGGAGCTGGTTGAAGGGGACCAAACCTCTCAGGAAGACGGACTTGGTTCCGTTTGACCAGCCAGAGCAGGGGGCAGCTCCCGCGGGAGGTGACTGCGGCCTCCAGGGTGAGGACTCCTTGGTACCTCCTGAGCATCGCTGGTCCAAGCCTGTGACACAGAGAGAGTCGGCATGAGAGAGTCGGTTGAATCAGATCCCGGGAGCTTGCCTAGCCCAGAGCGTCCGGTCACAGGTTATATAAGAACCACACGTAATTTGTATTTTGCGTGTGTGACTTTATTTTCCTTCTTAGATCCTTATTCTTTTTTTCTAACATGAACATTGTGGAAAACTACCATGAGATAGAATTATAGAATATGGAATATGAAAGTATCCCACGATTCTCCCGCCTCCCATCTTCCAAAATAAATTTAACATTTTGGTGTATGTTTTTGGAATACCTTACATCTTGATTTTTCAAAAAAATTCAATTTTGCAATTCCTTATCCAAACATGGAATATTTATGAAAGAATAAATGTAACATGTATGTAAGTTATGACCCATAATGATGAAACCGATATGCACAACCAGCCATCCACCTTCGACACAGTACTGTAGAAGCTTCCTGAGTGCTTTCCCCAAAGTAGCTCTTTGGTTTCTCCTCAGAGGTAACTATTACTCTGAACTCTTCTTTTTTCTTAGAATTTAAATGTTCTTCTTTATAGTTTTTACCATTTATGCATACATTCCTAGGTAATATGTTGCTTCTTTTTCAGTATAAATGGTATCATGCCATAGGTGGTCTTCTGTAACTTGGTATTTTCACTGAAAATGATAGTTGTAAGGTTTATCCACATCTGATGGCAGTTGTAGTTTATTAATTCTCACTATTTTACAGCTTTTTACTATGTGAGGTTATGTACAGTTTATTTGGTCATTCTCGAATTGATAGGCATTGAGGTTGTTTGGTTTTGACAGATGGCCAGACTTGACTGGATGGTTGCTCAAGGGAGGAGGGGAAATCTTTGAATCTTGTAGATTTTAAAGGAGGAGTCTGGATTCCAGTGGGTAAGAACTTGTAGGTTGACCTTTCAAAGGAAAAGCAACGTTTACCAGTCCTAAACATCTGCGGTTGGGCCCAGAGATCTGTGTTAAAACCTGCCCTTCAGGGGCTTCTGATGCAGCTGAAGTTTGAGAACCAACAAGTGGATGAGCAGAGGTACCCACTGGTTCCTCTGCATTTCTGGGAAAGTGAGGAGCTGATTAAGGAGACACTCCCCAGGAAGGTGGACTCGCTATGTTCATCATGTGTTTGAGCGGGTGGGGGAAGACGTAGGAAGAAAGGGTATTCTGTTTTTCTTAAAATTTTTATTTATTTCATAAAACTTACTTCATTATGTTATTTTTTAATAGAGGTACTGGGGATCAAACCCAGGACCTCGTGTATGCTAAGCACGCACTCTACCACTGAGCTATACCTCCCTCTGCCCTGCAAAGGACATTTTGAATGATGCCGGGAAACGGTCCTTGGGTTGGGCTTTGCCTGCCCTTTTATTTCCTCTCCCTGATGAAGAGAAGTGCAACGGGGCGGGAAGCCTGTGGCCTTGGAGTCACACTTACCTGGGTTCAGACCCCACTGATGCTTCCTGGCTCTCTTGCTTTTAGGAGGTTAAACCTCAGTTTCTGCATCTGTCCTACAGGGGAGCACACCTGCTTCGCTTACCTGTTGTAACGGTCAGGAAAACAAAGGAAAGGCACCCAACACTAAGTCCCTGGTGGGCACGAGGGACACTTTCAGGGGCCGTGGGAAAGTCCTACGGACAATTCCCATTGCTTCTGAGGCCAAAAGTTTCACTCGCTACTCCAGCCTGTCCTCCACGTCTCCCTTCCCTCGGCTGTGAGTCTTTTCATTTCGTCTCTGAAGTTTGCTGAAAGCACTGATCGGGAAAAGTGGTTTCCCCAGCCAAGTGGACCTCTGTCAGGTAGACCGCAGCTTGGGAGCACTGCCTGGAAAAATTAGACACCCCAGAAAGCAAAGTGCCGAACAAGACACCAAGGAGTAGCAGTGAGGTGCTGTGCCTGGGTTCTAGAACAGTTTTTGCAGAGCGATCTTGAAACATCTTTCTTGCTCCAAGTCTCCTCCTTGCCAGCATCCCAGGGCTCTGCCCTAAGTATCTCACCTTCACTGTCTGCCTCCTCACTGTGACACAGGTGTCTTGCGGCTGCGGCTCATGACTCACCAGCTCTTCCTCCAGCTACCCTTGTCCTAGCTCGACCATCCTCCTGCTCCTCCTGGGGAGCAAGGGAGCAGGCAGTGGTGGGGGGCAGGGGAGGTCAGCTAGGTGGCCTGACATCAGGGTGGAAAAAGTACGTGTGTGTCCAGCTCATCAGTCAAGCCTCTGACAGTGCAATTTCTTCAACTCAGGACTCCGGACCTCAACATCTCTCTCGTCTTCTTTACTCACATCCTGCCCACCCACACAACAGACCCTCGATTTCTGGGCAGATGACATGAAATCAATATCAGGGAAGGAAAAGGAAAACTGTCTTTGGAGCAGATGTAATTTAGAAAAGGGAAGGGTTTCTGCCCATTTTACAGACTTGAAGACTAACCAACGTTTGTAAAAGAAGGGCAGGAACTTTCTTTGGGAAGACAGTTTACCATAATAATGCCCACATGGGAGACCTTATTCATTCAAGGCACCTCGATCTAAAGCAAGGGATTCTCAGCCTCGGCTTACTGACATTCCAGTGGGTCTCTGTGGTGGGGGCTGTCCTGTGCATTGCAGGGTGTTTGGCAGCATCTCTGGTCTGTGCCCACTAGATACCAGTGAAACCCCCCGGATGTGACAACCAGGGATGTCCCCAGACATTGCCAAATGTGCCCCGAGGGGCAAAATCACCTCCAGTCGAGACTCGCTGATCTAAAGCTGTTTCTGTATTCCAACCTGCAGCTGCCCCATCTTTAGTCATTCCCCCATGTTCTTCTAGACTCCCCTAACCCTCAAGGAATCCAGTTTGGCTGCCCTTGAAGGCCGTTAGGCACCAGTCTGAGGTCTGAAAGAGGCAGGTGGGGGGTGTCGTTGTGTTGCTGCAGCCCAGGGAAGGGTCTGACTCCTGGTGTTGTGGGTGCTGTTGAGCCTTCATCTCTGGCCAGTCTGCCTGCATCTGCCACCTGCTGTGCAAACGTGGTGGACCCTCCCTTCATCCTTCCCCTTCCTCCTCATGCCTCCTCCTGGTTTTGCTGCTTCTTGGTTCCATTTTACAGCTCCCTCCTGTGCATCTCAACACACATCCATCAAATCCTGCCTGTGTCTGTGGTTCTGCTTGAGAACTCGTAGTATAAACGTAACGCAGCCCGAGCTCTCATGGCACATGCACTCCCTTCACAAGAAGGAACTGGAGCTGTGGATGCACGAAGCCCTCCTGGGGCTGGGCTTCAGTGAGAGATGGAGACCCTTCTCAGAGCCGGGGGAGCTGATGGCCAGAGCCTTGGGGGACCACAGTCTCCCCTCATGCTCCGGGCTTCCCCCCCATTCGTCCATTTCCTTCCTGGTGTGGGTTCAGGCCCTTTAGAGTCAAGGCTGGGAAACAGGGGTTATAGGAAGAGGGTAGAAGGGAACTTAACCCACTGGATGAGTGAATCACTATTTCAGCGCCTCAAGCCTTTTCTGCAAACAGCCTCATCCCGTGATGCTTTGCCACAGGGTTGTGATGTGAAGAGAAAAAGACAGCAGAGTAGGGTCAGAGGACTGGCTGTGTGACCCGAGGCTGGAGTCCCCTGAGCCTCACAGCAGCTGCCCATCTGCAGCAAAAGCACTGTTAGATTCATGACCTGTCCTAGGCACGGATGATTATGAAGGAAAGTGATGCAGGCGGATAGGAAGGCATTGCAGTTCAGTTTGTTTGGTAGAAACACCTCATTTCAGGAGCAATATGAACGGAGGGAGGAGCTTGGAGGGCGAAGGCTGACCCTGTGACAAACCTTTGGGTGACATGGCCTCTCTGGACCTGAGGAGGGAGGTCTGGGAGGCTGGCCACCGGGAGGACTCCAGGATGATGATCAGTGTGCCTGACTCGGGATGAGGAGGAAACCTCGAGGGAAACCTGGGCATGTAGGGGGCCCTGTATGGGATTCAGAGGCCCTCCTTTCCTCTGTGAGGGATGCCTGCTGGCACAAGGCCGGGATGAGGCAGAAGGGACAGGTACTCTGGGTGGGACCTGGGGTGGCGGAGAGGCGCTCGCCGAAACCACACACTTCCTTACATTCCATAGCAAAGTAATCCGTATGGGGATATAAAGAAGTATGTGGCCTCGGGAAGCAGTCTTGGCCCCAGCCTGGCTTCCTTCATCGTCCAGATGCAGCCCTGCCTCTCAGGTGTGGGCCCCTCCCTCTCTCCTCCTCCTCCAGGTGGGAAAGCCTGGAGGGCGCGGTCCCCAGTACCCCCTTACATCCGTCCCATCATTCCCCCTAAACTATCTCGGAACACACCTGTTGTGAGGCATGGCGGTACTTTGGGGGACCCCAATCCTTCTACTGTTTGTTCAGAAATAAACGGCATGCAAGCTCCCCTGGCTTATTTTGGTGCCGTTAATAATCTATTGGACCTTTTATTATTAGTATTAATTACTCTGCCTTGGCTTTGGTGTACCATAAGATTCTTTTTTAGTGTTTGGAATCCCATGAAGGATATTTAAAAATTAAAAAACAAAGCAAAACAGAGAGAGAATCCTACTAAGAAATATCGCGCACGTGCTCAGAGAACGACCCGGTTTAGAAACACGCCCTCAGGCGCACGTTGCCGGGCGGCAGCTGCGGGCGCAGCGTTGCAAGCGCCATTGTTCATTGTGGGAAGGATCTTTCTGTTCGTCTCTGCTCCCCGTGGCCCATCACCTGCCCTGCGATCTGTGAGGCCCGAGCCACGGAAGAGTGAGGGACGCTGGCAGCTGCGGAGCCACCCGGGGTCCGGACGGGCCACCCGGGTTGGAGGGAAATGGGGTTCTCAGCTTCGGAGGACCTGATACTCTGCCAGGAAACGGGGAGGATGCCACGGGAGGAACTGCACCCCCAAGGAAGGTCTGAGACTCACAGCACTGACCAGGGCAGTCAATGAAATCTAATCATAAAAGTAATAAAAATAAGAACAGATAGATTTTTTTCCCCAAAGG